TACAGAAGAAAAACAGCAGCTGGTATTCAGTAATGCAGATACTCTGTCCTGTGCTGCTAATAGGTAGTCTAAGGCTAATCAATTCTGTATTGTCATTTGTGATGATAATTTGGTTTCTTCTTGCAGGGCTATAATGCTCTCTGTGGTTTCATTAATGGCTTTTTCTAATTCTATTGACGCATTTGCAATAGCTTTTTCTAGGTCAGCAAACCCTAACCATGGGATAAAAGCTCTTACAAACAGGTGGAACTTAGAGACAGTTTCTACCAGAGGGTCGTAACACTTTTTGTGTATATATATATATATATATATATATATACACACCTGTAGTTATGAACTACAGAGGCAGAAGAGATACTGGTTCTAACCTGTGCAGTGGTATTAACGCACCTAGAAGACCCTTCTCATCCCAGGTTGAGGGTATATACTTGAATGCTGTGTCTCCACATATCCAATATTGCCCTGGTAGTTGTGTCAATAGAGTAGTATAATCCTCAGGTAAATCTGAATTATGTAAATTATTTCCTGTAAAAGGGTTAGCGTGTGCCGGATCCAGTCCTTTAGGTAAACCAGGAAGGCTTGGACCCAGATTAGATGACTCAGAGCAATCAAGATCCTGTAGGCCTGTTATGGAAACCAAAGGTTTACAATTATCTTTAGTTTGACTATAGCTTCCTACAGAATACCAAGTTAACCTATCTGCAATTATCTACATTGTTTGCAGAGCCTGATAAACTCCATCCCAGAACAAATCTACAATGTGATGTCTCATTATAATAGGTTTCGTGTAAGGGTTTTAAAACTTGCATTAGTATGAAAAAACCAAACAGCATATTGTTACAATTATCTCTTGATTACACTCTGGTTTTCAGTAAGGATATAGTTTAGTCTATGTGCAATTCCTAACTATCAAATTACTTTCCACTTTCTTGCTGTTGAATTTTTACACAAGGTTAGCGAGTCCACAGCCAATCGGAGGTGCGATCCACTAGCTCTAGTAATTTTGTCTGTGCAGTGGTGGATGTTCCCTTAGTGGCAGGATGGTTCCAATTGTAGACTTGTCACAGCTTTCAGGTGGGAGTGATGGATCCAAGTCCATTTTTCTTCCACCTTTACTGCTGAGAAAGGTTAGCAGTGCCAAAAATGGTCTCTCCGACTGAGGAGGCAAGTTATTCTTTCTTTTACCCAAATGTAATTTACCTGTACTTTTATCCAAATGTAATTCCCTAGATTGAAGGGGTGCAGAGCCCTTATAAGAGTAATTCTTTTATTCATGCGCATGGTGTCCCATTCAAATTGGGGTGCCCCAAATGTGGTTTTATACAGGGTTCTAATACCCCTCAGACATTTAGGTACAACATGATTTGACTAATCGCCAACATGCACACTACTGATTATCATCATAGTCAAACTTTGCAAAGCAACCATATTTCTGCAGCATTCTTGATGTTAGTCCATTGATCCAGACGTCCCTGGAGTCAGCCTTCCTATAGTTACTTACCTATGACGCCAGGCAACACTTGGAGGGTTTCAAAGATGTGTTAGAGGGGCTAGGATGGAGGCATTATTCTGGTTGTCCAGGGGTATTCTTTATCCTTCATGGACAGCTCTAAGCTCCCAGGAAGCCAAGTTCTTATTTCCAGGGCTGTCTTCTAGTTTGTTTTACTTCAGCATGAACAATACCAAAGTCTCCAGTAAAATTCCACTACCTCATTACATTACAGTGTATAATGTGAACTAATATATATACATTAACCAAGTTAGTACACTTGACTATAATAAACAGCGATAGATATAATAGGAAAGGGAATTTCCATAACAAGGTACGCTAGAGAGGAAGAGACTGCAGCTTGGGGTTGCCCCTGTGAGTTAGTCACTCTGGGTCTGGATGAAACTATGGTTCTGCCTTGTGAAGAGAGGTTACTCAGGTTATGCATCCTATTTACACCTGCTGCTGTGGGTCTTGTCACAGGTTCCCCGCAAAGACCCGTAAACCTACACTGAGTCAAGCCAGCAAGCCTGGGGTTCTCGTGGGCCGTGCAGATCCATGGGAAAACTGCTGTTTCAGCTTTCCCCAGGACCTGGCCTTGGGAATCCAGCCTGAAAATCTGTTCTGGTTTCAGAGCAGTTGCTCCTTGGGTAACATCAATTTGAGTGGCTTGAAGTACCATGGTCCAAGGTCTGCCAGAAGCCAGAGCTCACGATGGACTGTGACGGGAATCTCAAATGGCGTCGTAGCCCAGTGTCTGGCAAAAGCTCCTTAGACATGGCAGGTGGATGATCCCCACCCCCAGTGCTGATGTGGGATCCTCAGGTGACCCCCCTCTCACTGGGAACGTCTGCTCCTTTTCTGACTGGCAGCTTAGGCTGTAGTTTTTATATTGCAGTTGGCGAGTGAGAAGAAAGCTGTATTTCTCTTAAGGTGCTGCAGGTGTAGCATAGGAACCAGAAACAGTTTCCAGTCACAATATGTGGTGCATGTATTTAAGTGAATGAAAGCAGTAGTTAGTTTCTATCTTCTTAGGCTTTGCTTCCCATGCAATTCACCACTCTCGGTGAACAGAATTCTTGTTTTGTGATCTTGGGGGAGGAAAAAAGAAGGAGGAGGAAGGAACAGAAGCCTGTTCTGAAAAAGGGATTTGTTTTAGTTTAAAATGCAGGAAAGTCCCCAAAGAGACTGCAGTAGCTGTCTTTGAACAGAAGATTTATCAAAGACAAAATAAGTAAAGTGCAAGCTATGCTCAGAACAAACTTTTCTATGATGATCTTGGTATTTTGCCCTGGAAACCTCTCTCCCACCCTTAGGTGCTTAAGCCATATGTTTTTTTAATATCCTCTGCAATCTTGGTTGCCTCATTTACCATAGGTCTGTGGAGTCTACATGGGAAGGCTTTTAAGGTACTTGAACACCAGTACCTCCCTTCTACTTGAATACAAGTGCAGACGTTGGCCAATTTAGGAAAAGAAGTCCTTGGCCTTTGCTGAGATGTGTAACTAGTGCAAATTCAGAAGGAATTTCTGAATTTCTACCAAACAGTCTTGATTTTAGTTTTCTCGCCATACATCTTGTGTATTGAAGTGTTGGAGATATATTCCAAAACACCGCAGGCAAATTTCTAAGCAATAGTCATTTGACTATGTAATGATACTGCAGCAGCAAACTACTTCCAGTATTTAGGTGAGACTGAATGTATTGAAAACATTTTTCAGTCCAGTCTGACTAAGCAATTGCTCAGAAGAGAAATGTGCAATGCAATCGTGGAAATAAATCCCAAAGGGCGCCCTTAGGGACAAGTGCAAAAACATTTTAACCTCTAAGGGTATGTCTTCTACTGAGTGTGGAAAACAAGAGTCGGCTTTTAGTGCTGAATTTGCCTAGCAAAGTAACAAACAACACCCGACGGGATTGCAGATGCCCTCCAAAACCAAATTCCAATCTGTTCCCTTCCTCCTTTTGTCACTCATTAGCTGACTGGAACATTAGGGAATGTTTTGATATCTGCAATTTATGCTAGCCTCTTTCTTTTAATACCAGGAAAAGAAAGACAGTGCGTGAGACTTGCTAGCAGCCTTCAAGTCTTTTCTCATTGCCTTTCCTTTCCCCTTTTTTTGCTTGACTTTAGTTTTGACAGTTGGGCCTCTGTCTGTCTCTAGACAAAATCCCTGTAGACTTCTAACCACCTCCCCATCTACTCTTTAATTACTAGACTTCGTACTAGTCACTGTCTTTCGAGCCTTCATTGTGCTGTGGAGCAGCAAGGAGGAAAAGGATGGTGAAACTGGCGGTACCCGGGCAGTTCAGCAGCAGACTTGCTGTCCACACTGGTTGAGGCTATAGAAGCTGGGGCTGGTCCTGCCCACAGACCCCAGTGCTCTGGAGAGCAGCAGGCTCTTGGCTTGGGGATTGCTTAAAAAAAAAAAAAAAAAAAAAAACTTAGACACACCAGACTGGCAGTACCTGCACAAGTGGTCTCGTGAAGGCTGAGAAAAGCAGGCTACACTGAAACAAAACGTCCTTTCAGCCTCACAGCCCAATTATTCCTTCCTGAAAGGGCTGCCAGGAACTGTCTGAGCCCACAGCTGCGGGGACAAGTACGCACGCAAGGAAGCTGCTACCCAGCCTGTACCCCTACACTTCAAGAGCCTGCAGTACAGGGAGGGTTGTGTGTCTCCCCTCTAGCAGCATTTCTTTAACAGCCAGGTTATCACTGGCCCTTTCCTTCGCATAAATGCAGACAAATGCAGACTGGGTAGAGAGGGAGGGAGAGGTGACTGTAAATGTGTGCTGGGAAGCCTGGGAGAACCAGGGAGACTCCAGAGAAACACCCAGGTGGCTAGGCCCTGCGCTGCACCCCTGAAGCCTCATCTGCCAAGAGACAGCACACACTGCTCTGCAAGACAGAAACTTCTCCTGCCTGTTCTGGGAGGCTCTTGAAAGGCTTACAGCATACACTTCATCAGGAATAAACAAACCCCTTTTGTCCTACTAGAAAACTTCTTGAACCCCTCAGAGGATCTCGTGCTTCTTTTCCTAAGGCAAACCACTGGTGAGGAGCTGACCAGGTTTCTGAAGCAAACCTCATCTGTCAGGACCACAAGTCACATGCACTGCCAACAGAGGAAATATCGGTGTCCTTCTGGTTTGGGTCAAAAGGAAAACCAAGACAGCTCAGGGACGTAACCCATCCAGGAGAGTGCAATACAGGACTGCGCTAAGCTCTCGCAATTACTATGGCAGGATGTATCTGGGCAGCCATTTGGGACTCCCTCCATGCCATCCAGAATGGACTCGTCCCTCATTTTGCAGAGACAAAAGGCTTGCTAGGCCTAGTCCTGGTGTTCGTGAAGAGATGGAAGAGACTGCTGCTGCCTTTCACCACCTCCAGACCCAGCTCTCAGGCTGCTCTCATGTTCTTCCCCTGTCTACCCCCCACCCGCCCCAGCAGATAACTTTTACCATAAATATTTTCTTTTCCATTACTGCAGGACAGTAATACCACATGCCACTGAAACGACCACAGAAGTCGGTGACCACAGAGTGCGCACTTCCTCCTACTTCCTCCTTTAGTCTTTTTCTCTCAAGACCTGCTGAAGCACTAAACTCCTGCGACAAGGAGGTCCTCTCCAGCAGCATATGCTGTGCCTGACTGGTACTCGCACTGCTCTGATCCCCCAGTGACCAATAAGCCATGGTAAGCCTGTTGAGACTCCACATAACTTCTTGGATTCTCTCCTCACCTGTTAGTGTTTCAGAATAATTCTGTACTAAAGTGCAAGATATGTATCCCTTGTATGAACAAGTGTCAAATCTTTGCCTGCAGGAGCTATGTTTCCTCTCTGCCAGATTATGTGATTCACAGAGAGTTTAAGGCTGATGACCATCGTGGTAACAGTTACGAGCCGAGAAGAGGGCCTTTTGATTTTGATATGAAAAGCGTTTGGCAGAGGGATGCTGAGGACAAAGAAAACGCAGAGAAAAAGAAGGTATGATGGAGAGGCACTCTGTGACAATGCTTTGTTTGTAGAGCTTGCGAAGACACTTCTGGCTGGGCCTGCGGGTTCTTCTAGAAGGGAAGCTGTAGTCCACTTGAGTTTCTGTATTCCAGAAGCATTTTTTTCTGTCACAGGTAGAGAACGCGAAGAAAGCTCTGTTTCTCTTAAGTGCTGCAGGTATAGCATAGCAGTTTCCCACCACAATCTATGGTGTGTATATTTAAGTGTGAATGAAAGCCAGTAGTTAGTTTCTATCTTCTTAGGCTTTATTTCCCCTGCAGTTCACTCTGGTGAAGAGAATTCTTGTTCAGTGGTCCCAGCCTGTCCATGGGAGTCCTGCAATGGACACGTGCTGTGGTGTGGATGCTGGCGTGGATGCCCTGCCAAGAGGTGTCCTCACACTCGACTCTGGGCTTCCCATGCCTTGGAGCAGCCAGCCCTCAGCCTGACTCAAGCTGAGAAACCAAAGAGAAAACTGTCTCTGCAAATGCTGTGGTTTTCAAGGGCTGTAGGGAGCCAGGGGACAGTAGAGCTGGAGGACTGAACCTCCTTCAGTAAGAAACAGGCACATGGGATGGACTGCTTTCTTGGAAAGATACTGTTCTGGTACAAGGACAACAAGAGAAACATTAAAAACCCCCTCATTTTCCAACAGTCTGGGCAGATCTTCTGTGAGGCTTTTTCTAATGAAATTGAGGTTGCTGTGCCCAGCAAGAGTACACAAGGGCAGCAGCCTTCAGCTTAACGGTGAGTACAGGTACCTGGACAGTAATATCCATGAAGCTGGGCCCAGCAGCAAATGGCTTCTTTTGTAAATAAAACACAACAGCCAGAATTAAGATCCCTGTTTTATTCTGTGGTACTGTAATGGTACTCCTCCCATTTGTGTCGGCAGTCAGCACAAAGCTTGGCAGACGCTTAGCAGATAATTAAAATTAACAATAAAGAAAACACTTCCCTCTAACAGGCAGCTTTAACTGGCCCTCTGGACAGGTTATAATGGGCTTTGTTTTTAAGTTTATGACGAGAGCTGATGGATACAACACAATCAGACACTGGAAGAGCTCTACGAAATCCACATTGTATGCACTCATATCAAAAGGAAGCCTGAAAGTACAGAGTTAGATGCAACTTGAGGAAGGAAAATATGGCAAACAGTTGTATGGAAGCACCTTCTCTGACAGGTGCTGTCATGCAGGGTGTTGTTGGGTTGGTAAGGAGCCCTGGGCAGGGAAGGGCTCGTGAGGAGTTAAGAGGAGGGTGGTGATGCCAGCCAGCGGCAAAGGCTAGCAGTGAGGCAGCTGGGACGCTGGGGGCCAGGAGGTGAGGACAGCATCCTCATGAGCAGCGGGAAAGGAGGAGGAGGCGGGACTGACTGTGCAAGGATTAGCAGGTGCTTGCAGGGGAAATGGATCCTGGCCCCCTTGTATGACAGGACTTGCAGACCCCATGCCCCTTCCAGGGAGGGTACTGTAATGGTACTCCTCCCATTTGTGTCGGCAGTCAGCACAAAGCTTGGCAGACGCTTAGCAGGTAATTAAAATTAACAATAAAGAAAACACTTCCTGCCCCTTTGCGAGGGAGTCTGGAGAGTGCCCAGCAGGGAGAGCAAAGGTGGGAAAGCAGAGAAGAGGTGGGCAGTGAAAGGGGTCCATGGGAAGTCAGCAGCCTGCTTGTCTAGGCGATTATCCTGCTGTGCCTGGTGACTGCAGTCCATTCTATAAACTCTCTATATAACCATTTTTTGTGTGTGTGTGATCTCCTAGCAAACTAAGCTGGATTATCTGGTGAGTAGGTGAAGAGCCAGGTATTGGAGGTACCAAGGGTTTGGGTAGCAGCTACAAGAGGCCTGTGAAAGAAAGTAGGTGAATATGTGTGCAATCCACTGGTGAACTTTCAACCCAATGAGGTGGTGAGTAGGTGCATTACTGGGCCATTTCTATATTCATGTTTAGGTGAGCGCTGCTGTCCCAAGCCAGTGTGCTTGTTTAGTAGTCCAAATTGCAAAACAATTGAAAAAGTACTGATTTAATCCCCATATCTCCCCAGTTTAGTTAGGGAAGCTAGCAACTAAAAAGGTGAAAACAGCAATGAAGAATATGAATTCCATGTTGAACAAGGGACTTCCAATATACTTCTACCAGGAGCACATTGACTGTTACTGTATGAATTTCACAGGTACCTGAAGGGGTTGCTCCTTTCAACCCATGCAAAAAACATCCTTTAACAAATGGTTAAAGTCCTTTATCTAATACAAATGCCTGAAATATAGGACTTCAGACATGAGGTAGTAATCTTACTTGTGTAGCAGAAAGAAGGGAAAAGGGGAAAAATGCCAGGTGCTGGCTATTAGGCAGTTGTCTTAGAGCAGCGATAGATAAGATTGATGAATTGAAGGGGGAAGTTGTACAACGGAAAAAGGAAAGTGAGGATGAGGAAAATGGAAGGAATAGTTGGGAATTAAAGTTTGGATAGTTAGAAATGCAAGCTAAATTGCTTTAGTCAAAACTTTAGTCCCAATTAATTACAAATGCAGAAGGGCACAAGAGAAGGTTGCTGGAAGCCACTATGATTGACCCAGTTAAAATCTATTGTACCTTGTGTGGCAATGACTGGGTTGAGAATATGTGGAATCAGACCTTGATCCTTTCCCTGGGCCAGATGATAACTGGGATGATTATCTCTCCTTCCCTCTCCACCTACACCCCCCCCTCAGTTTTGACACCAGTAATCAAGTCCAAACAATAGGGCACAAAAATTACCTCCCTTTGGAACAGCTACTGGACAGCTTACTGTCTTGGAATTAAGAGATCTGTAGGGTAGATGGATATCAAACTAACCCAAGGGAAACACCCTTGGACTTTTAGCACAAATCTGGACAGCCAGAGCCAATCAGCTCCACCTTACCCCAACTGAAGTTTGATCATTAGCATTAGGTTCAGTAATATTTTTAGATACTGCAGGGCCAAATATTAGAAGTCCCTGGACTTGCGTTTTGTGTTGGCAACATACTTTACATCTTGCTGATCATAGTGGGGCAAACACGTGGCAGTGGACCTCATCAGCCAGCCTTCAGATTGCCTTCCTGAAAACCCTATTTTAGCTGAACTGGCAGGACCACCACCCATTGCCCAGGTGCCGAACAAATACCTCCCACAGAGCCCATTTCCTGGGAGGTGATTTCTTAGGACATCTCTGCCCCATAGTAAAGGGAGCAGAAGGAGCATAAGAAGTTATGGAAAATGTGTTTAGATAAAGGACTCTCAAGTCAGTTAAATGGACTGCTGATTCCTGTTTTGTAGCAGTTGGCCAGGTTTCTCTCATTAGTTTGTCATGATACCGCTCTGGGATCCATATCAGGGGATGGGAGTGACACTGTATGATGTAAGAAAGTAATACCTAGGGAGCTGGAGGGTGTGAGGGATGTGAACTTGGGGGAGATATCCAAAGCTATCAGCACTGACCCTAGACCATAAATACATAGGAAACTAGGGTGGGGGTTGGATCCAATGGAAGTACTTGCTGTGGCTACTCCCACTGCTAAGGATCCAAGTCCTGAGATGATGGTTGCATTTAATGATTGCTACTTTACAACTTTCTCTGTCAATACAGGAGCCCAGATGTTGATGATAAGTAAGGACACTTACAAAGGACAGCTTCCACTTAGCAAACTACTAGTTTCTAATGTAGGCATCAATTGGCAAGTCACTACCCACCCACTGGCCAGGGCTGAATGAATTTTGTCTAATGGATGGAGAGTCCACCTGACCTTACTCTTAGGTCCCCAAAATATCTTATGCATTGATGTATCTAGGGGCCAGTCATGGGTAGACTTGTGGGGAAAATTCCCATTCCTATTCCCCCTACAATTCTCCTGTATGGCCTGTAAAGAAACCTAACGGCAAGTGGCAGCTAACAGTAGATTATAAAGCCCTGAATGCTGACAACAAACTGCTCCCAATGTAACTGATAAGAGTCAGATCTCTTAACTAACATACCTTTCCATGGGTGGCAGCTATAGATGTGAAGGATATGTACCAGGTGCAGATAGGGAGCAATTTGCTTCCACCTGGCAGGGACTCCACTGTGTACATTTACTCCCTTCATGCATGTTTTAAACAGTCTGACCATTGTTCATGCTGTATTGTTTAAAGAACTAGAAACACTAAAGTTACCACAGGAGGTCACTGTTGTGCAGTACATGTGTGTATCTGGCAGAGTGATGAGCACAAGCATTCGACTTTTTTGAAGAGGTGCTGTTAGCAGCTAACAAAGGGCTAGTAGTGACTGAACCCTTGACCCAGGGAAGGAGCATAAAATTACATTGCCAATATCTGTTGTTAAACGTATGCTTGCTGGTAAACTAGTACCTGTAGATGTAGCATGTAAGACCCCTGTACCAAGGTGAGTACTGTGCATCTATCATCATGAAACTGTAGATGGCTTAACTAAGAATAAAGTTACTGAAGTTGTGGAGCATATAGGAATGCCCATTGAATACATGGAGCCTCTTTGCTCTTCTATCCAGGATGCCCCTGAATTCAATGCCTGTCAACCAGATGGTGTCTGGTTTACTGTCAGACGTGCTCACAAAATACAGGGTAAATGGCAAGGAATGGCTACTGCTGTATTTGTAGCCAAAGAACCTGTAGTAACTGAGTGAATAGAAGGTTTTGCTCAATTAGCAGAGCTCTATGCCATAGTATGAGCTCTTAGAAACGGCGCACAGGCCATATACACTAATTCCTATGCTGTGTGGGCTAGTGCTACACAATGGCTAGGAAACTGGGCAATTTCCCCATATATCTCAGTATATAGGGAAGCAAATATTGGGAGCAAATATAAGATATTGCCAACTGTCATCCTATTACTATAGGGCACGTAGCAGCACACCAGAAAATGATGGTATTTTACCTAGCCATTCAGTAGTCAAGGCCTTTCTTCTGCCTTGAGTGTTGAATGGTTGCATGAATAATTTGGGCACACTGGAGCATGTGACTTGCATCAGCATGCCAGAAGGCGAGGTTGGCCAATTACTAAGAAACAAGCAGATCATATAGTGACAACCAGTGGATTTGATAATGAAAGTAAGGATTCTCTTGTCCAAAGTCAACAACAAGCAAACCTTAGGGAAGGAAAAGTCCTTTGGAGTACTGGGCAAGTAGACTATATCAGAC